CCAGGCCTTCCTGTCCTTCACTGCCTCCCTGAGTTTGCTCAGTTTCATGCTCGTTGCTTCAGTGCCCCTATCTAGGTCACCGCAAATATCATCAAGCAGAGTGTCAGCCTTGCAAGGTAGTCCAGATGAACGAATTCCACTTTATTGTAAGGTTACAGTACAGAATCTTGCAAGTCTGAAAGTACAATTGTCCCCTGCTGCCTTTACAGCCCAAGAAACTAGGGAGGGTCCCTTCTGAGAGGTTTGCCTGCCCCCATTCCTTCTGCGGGCTCAGCTGCCTCTTTTCCAACCATTCCCTGGCTGTGGCTCTCCTCGTCTCCCAAGGTCATTCCCATATACCATTACACAGAGGGAGCAATGTCGTCTCCATCCCATGTCCAAGTCTAAACCATGATTGAAAGTGATCTAAATAATCTGCTTCTTCTTGAGAGCTCTGCAGCTGAATTCCCAAGACCCACTCAATAACTTTTCCCCCAAAAGGGGAGATTGGAGACTGAGTGACAGTTGTCAAGAACAGCCAGGTCCATGGAGGGCCTCTTAAGGAGGGGGCACTCCAAAGGTTCCTCCAAGACTGCTGGCATCAACCTCTCTTGAAGAAAGGTGTTTACCACTTCTTGGATCCAGCCAGTTGGGTCCCTGTAGCCCCATGGAGGAGCCAGGGGAAGAACTGTCTAGCCCACGGGAAGGAAGGATCATGCTAGAGACCTACAAAAGCAACCTTGAAGAATAGGTTGGGGTGAGAGAGAAAAATTGACCCAAAGCTACCCTGTAGACCTCTATAGCTAACTGAATCTGAGTTTCTCTTATTTTATCCTAATTCAGCACATTGACTGCTGCTCCACACTGACTGCTCCTGACTACTAGCTGACAGTCAGACTTCTCTTGGAGGGGGGTTCAATGTTCTTTCAGAAGAGTGCTAAACCTGTGTTCACCAGCAGCTGCCACCATGGATGTCAGAGCTAGGGTTAGGGAGAGTCAGGTCATGCAGGAATGGAGAGAAACCCCTCTTTTTCCATAGCTTCTTCAGACCCACCAGTGCTGCTCAGCTGCTGTTCAGGCAAATCCAGGTTTCGGAGCTAGAGGCAGGGGAGAGCCCACTTTAAAAGAACCAACTCTCCTGCTGCCTAATGCAGAATACGTCTAGTGGCTGGGCTGATCTTCTTCCCTTGAGGGGCCACCTGACTGAAGCCCATTCAATGGTATCCACAGTAAAATTCGAGTCAAGATACGGGAGGAAACATCAGTTTAACACCAGTACAGCCTCCGCCGTAGGCTTGGGACAAAACGAAGGCAACATCAGGGGAGGAAGGCAGGAAACTTGTACCATGCCAGGATTCAGTGCCCTCTGAAGGGGGAGGCCAGAAGGAGCTGTTCCTTGACAGTGGAGACAGCAAACTGAAAGGGATGCCAACATACTGTGGCACTCAGGATGGTTTAGGGTCTTTGTTAGGACACCGGGAGTGAAATCTGCCCAGGCTGCAAACATGGTCCTTCAGGGCAAGCCCATGGCCAACCACAGTTCAGAAAAGGCCCTCTTCTCCTCCCTCGTGTGGCTTGGCTTCAGGAAATCTGCAAAGGGAGCCCAGCTAGGAGCCCGGGGCCTCAACCTCCCCCGCCAAAAGGGAGCACTACTCACTCTGCAGGCAGTCCGCATTGAGCAGGTCTTGGCACTTTTCATGGCACTTGACCCCACATTCCGTGCAGCGCATCCCTTGGCGTGCAATGCCCCACAGGAGCCCCTCGCACTCGTAGCAGTAGGTGGGGGTTGTGGCGGTCCACACCTCAAACTTATGGGGAGTGGTGCAGGAGATAGGGTAGATTAAGGCTTGGAGGGTCTTCTTATACACGTGTGATTTCTGAAACAAAAAGATTTCTAAGAACCCCCTTTTCCTCAGGGAGAGGAGACAGACCCCCCAACCCTGGGGTTGTGCGATGCACCCAGAGCAGACCCCAGCCCTCTATTTGCAGGATGGGGGCGGCAGGAACACTGATGCTTCCTGTCAACCCCCCTGATCTCAAAGCAGAGGCTAGCCTGGGGGAGAGTAGCATACCTCCCCACTGCTGTTGCTCTTGGCAAGCCAAGCTGGGTACCTGACCTGACCTGACCTCCCTACCGGCACAGGAAAGTTCCCTTGGCAGACAATGTTGGGTAAGCGGTGGCCTCCCCACCCCCCATGGCCCCACAGCCCCAGAAGCAGGGCCTTTCCAAAGGCCAGGCGAGGAGTGGGCTCATGACTTTTAGCAAGCATCTCTCCTGAGCGCTGCATTCACGTGTAAACAAAGAGCCCCAACCCAACCGCCCCCACGCACCCCATTGTTCCTCTAACAACTTGCGGTGGGAGCACACGCAGTCTCTTTTGTGCTGCTGAAAGGCTCCCACCCTCGGCTCTTTTGATCTGTCAAGGGGGTAACAGCAGCCGCTCCCTCCAGTTGATGCGCCTTGGTGGTGGCATCAGGAGGATCTTCCCGTTCCAGCCGCTCAGCGCTTGGCACTCTCGTCTCCCCGGCCTGGTGCCCGAGCTACTCTCCAGCCTTACCAGCTCTTCATCCTTGAGGGACGTTCGGGTCGCCATTGCTGAGGTAATGCCTGCCTTCCGTGACTGCACCAGTGACTGGAAAAGGAATCACCCTCTGTTATTTGGGGCTTTGAAAGATATAGTTCTTCTGGCTGTGCATGGGGGGCTCCTGTGCATGGAAGACCCCCAGGAGGGAACCATCTAAAGAGCTGAACTCTCCTGCCATGCCTACCCCACCCAGGCAACTTCTAGGTGGCCCCTAAGGTATCAGCTCTTAGCTGCTGTCAAAGTTCTTCCATTTACTCTCTTCACAGAGAAGTCACCCAAAGGTCCAAGAGGACAACAGAAGATCTCAAGGATGGAGGAATTGAGTGGAGCTACTGATTCCAGCCTAGGCAGGCTCGAGTAAGAGATGCCTTCCCAGGCTATCCTTCTAGCGAAGGGCCTATAGCTAGGAAGCCTCCTTGATGCCACAGGAGAAGTAGTAGTTCTCTGCCCTGATGCTCTTGGCTGGACTGGCTATCTGCTGGGAGAGACCCACAATGCCGGGAGGGCCCCAGCAGCTCCGCATCCAGGTCCTCCTCCTCCTCCCTAGGACAGGTCCAGAAGAAACTAATGGGAAGGACATTCCCAGAAAGACTGGGCCAGAGGGGCCAAGCCCCATGGGCACAGGCCTCACTGGGGGCGGGCCCTTCCAAGGCACACGTGGGACGCTTTCAGCAGGCTGGGAGCCACTGAGGCCTGTCAGACAGGGCCACTGGTAGCAAGTCACTGATGGACCAGGGAGAAGAGGAAGGGCATAAGATGCTTCCACCGTTTCCTGAGCTGCAGAAAGAAGGGTGGGGAAAGGCGGTGGAGGGGGTCGCGGCAACAAATATTCTTTGAATGGAGCCTGGGAGTTGCTCTCCACTTACCATGGCCTGTGGGAGGGAAGTGTCAGCGTACAAGAGAAGCAGAACAAGTTAATGCCACCATTGCCCTCATGTAACGGACCCAACCCAATATGCCACCCAGCAAGCCATATGACCAAACCCCCGGGAACGGCAGCCACTCTGGCCGCCCCGCTCTCATCTTAGCCCCCAGAGGAGGATGGACTGAGGCATCCAGGCTCCCTCCACCTATTTGCTCTCCCATAGCTGGACCCCACTGGCTTCTTAATTCTACACCGGTAAACACAGAGGGAAGCCTCTTCCCCCGCCCCACACACATACCAAATGGCCCCCTCCCAATCCCATTTTCTCAATGTGTGGTTGTTTCTGGCCAACCGCCTCTTGTCCCAATCCTCTACCCCAACCTTTCTTTCTTCATTGGGAGAAGGGGCTGCAGTGAGGGGGAGAGGTATTGCTTAAGGCTCCACAACTAGATGGACAATTTCGCCCATCTTTTTTCTTTTTAAAATTTTTTGTCAAGAGAACAGCTTTGACAAGTGCTCCGAGTTCTCACACTCCAAGGAACGTGCAGCAAGGGAAAATAAGTTACACAGGAGTAGCAGAGACATCCTGGGTGCCCCCGTGTGCCCCGCAACCTTGAGGAAAGTGGATGTTGCACAATCAGCAGGGCTGTGGAAATGTTCAGAAGGTGGTTTGCCTTTTCTTGGTGCTTGCCCCTTCTCTCCACTACTTGAGAGCAGGACGTGGGAGTTGGGGTGGGGACAGGAAGGCCCTGCCCCGAGGCCCTCCTGACCAGCGGAGAGTTCATCTGCTCTCTGGGAAGATGCTGCAGCATATGCCCAACTACGTAGCTGTAACGCATCACCCAAAGTTCAACTTTTGCACTTGAGAAGCAAGGTGATGCCCCCATATTGTCACCGAGGGAGGAGGTTGGGGAAGCCCTCTCACCAAATCACTGACGAGTGGAAGGGGCTTCTTCTGGCGCAGATCAGGCATGCTGTCGATGCCATAAAGGCCACCCGCTGGCCTAGAAATAACAAGCAGGGAGGGCATTAGGGCAGGCAAAGGCATTGCAGAAACCCAGCCAGGCTCTCCCAGGCAACAAAGTGAGTGGGGTGAACAGGGAGAGCTACTGTGGCATCCAGAAATGTCTCAAAGGCAAGAGAAGCTGGTGATACCACAAAGAACCTTCATGGGCTGGACCCAGAAAGGTTCGGGATGGCCTTCAACCTGCAACTCTAAGGTCCCCGGAACAAAGTCTGTTGCGCAGTTCTATCATAACCCACATCACTAAATCAAGCGTTGCTCTCCGCTTTCCTCAGAAGAGGCAGGGCAAGCAGTGATGGGAAGTGTCCAGATTGACCAGGGAGGAAAGCACTTGGGTGTCCATCAGCTACCTTTTCAAGAGTGAAATGCCAGCCTGGGTAAAGTCAGAGCCCTTCAGTGCTTCAGCTCAAGGGCCTTAAACCGGTTTGGAGCTTGGGACGCTTTGCCCCCAACAGGACAAACCCGCCCTCACTCCAAGCATCCCTGATGAAGGAGATGTCCACCATCAGCCGATATGGCAAATCGATTCAGTGGGATGGAACTTTAATCTGTGGGGGAGAAAACTGGAATCCAGGATTTACTCTCAAGGTACTTGCCATTTTTATACCCTCTTTCTCAACACAAAACAATTATTTTGCGGAAATCTTTCTACCAACTTGTTTGTTCTGCCCCAACCGCGATGCCATCACAAAGGTGACCGTCTCACTTCTCACCATTAACAACAAATTATTTATGAAGAAGTTAAAAAGGCACTGGCTCCAATAAAGACCCAGTTCTGCAACCGTGCAGCTGGAATTCTGGCAGGTGCTTCATCGGACCCAGAATAAGTCTCTGCAGGCTCCCCTCACCACCTTGGGGGGGAGCCATCACTGACACTTTAAATATCCTTGGACCCTCAAGAACACGGAAGAATCTCTTATTTGCATTCCGCTGAAAGTTGGCCGCTCCCAGGAGAACCCCTTTCAGCTTTAATATCCTGTCGGGCTGAAGGAGAGGTGAGTGGATGGAGGCTGGGGCCCGGGGGGCCTGTGGTGAGGGCCAGGCTGGTTGTCCCTCTGAAGAGGCAGCTTGGAAAGAGCCCCCTTCCCCTCTCCCTATATGCCCTGCTCTGGGCCTCCCCCGCCCTGCCCCCTCCTTCCGGGGGCTTGCGATGCTTGCCGGGATCGGAGGGGGGCCCCTCCTGGAACTCTCCCTGCCTTCTGCCCAGGGGGCCCCGTGGAAGTCAGGAGGGGGCTGGCCAGGGACAGTCCCAGAACTCCATCCCAGGTGCCAGGAAGAGGGATGCCCTGGCAGCCAGATGCTCAAGGCCCCCCCCACATGGAGCTCGTTCGGCCTAGTCCCTTCTTCAGAGCCCAGACTGACGTGCAAAGCGAGTCGGTCAGTTTCAGTTCAGGAAGGAGCTGCTATGCCCCCTTATTCCCCGCCCCCCGCCCCCCCGCAACACGTTGTCGCACAAGCAGCAGCAGCAGCAGAAGAGAATTCAAATGTTGCAGATCAAAGCCATATGGCTCTATTCAAGTATACTAACACACCGAAAATCAAACAGCACGTAAAAGGGAGCCTCTCCGCCTTTCTCCTGGCAGGCCGCCAAGTCACGCTGGAAAGAAGGGGAGTGGGAGTGCTTGGCTGAGGGGGAGCCCAGCTTCGAAAGCTCCCAGGGCTTGGAATCAGGAGCAGCAGTGCTGGGAGGGAGGGGGGGGGAGGAAAGGTGCCCCCCCGGAAAGAGCAGCTCCAGGGGCAGAAAGAGCCCATGCTGGCTCAGCCAGGTTGCCCCCCACGGTTAAGGGAATGGGCACAGCTGGCATTCAGTGCACTCGGCCAATGTGCACGGAGACAATCTCTTTGGGTCTTGATCTTTTCAGTCCTGACATCTTCCGGGACTGATCCCCTCCTGATTTCTCCTATGGGGAAGGAGCTCTGGTGCAGAAAGAGGGTCACAGGGACAGCAGCCCCACCAGCCCCTGTTTGCAAGCCATGACCGTGTGCTGGAAAGGAGCTCGGGAGCGAACTGGGAGCTCGTGAGCAGCCCCTGAGGATGGTAGGAGATTGTTCTCCTACAGCAGAGAAGTCTGGTAGCCTCTTTTTCAGAATAATGCATTCTTTGAAAGGCATAAACGTTTTGATTCAAAAAGGTATTGTCAGACTCCTCCCAGTTTCTGGCTACCCAAACTAACTCAGCTCTCCCAGTACAGAGAGGAAGAAGCAGGGAAAAAATCTGGCACTGAAACCCGGAGAGCATCCCCTCAGGTCAGTGGAGAAGCTGCCCCAGGGAAGGTGGGGCCCAAGGGAGCCAAGGCTCAGCTGCCGGCAGAGGGGCAGCTGGGCTCCCTGTGGGCATGCATGCCTTCAGTGGCCCCTCAGATCGGCCTCCACTGGGGCCTGTCTGGAAGCAGACTTGCCTGCATCCCTGGGGGAATCTGGGATCCCCATAACGTATGTTCGCGTATGTGCCAGTCTTCCTTCTGGCTCCCCTCCCCACGCAGAGAGAGAGAGAGAGAGAGCGCGAGAGCGCACGCGCTGCTGGGGGATTGGGCAAGCCCAAAGGCTACTCACCCTTCTTTGAACCACGGTGACTTTGAGGGATCTCCATCATCCTGATCCTTGAATGATGGGAGAGAGAGAAAACGACAGAATTATTTTCTAGCCAGCAAATCTAACAGTCAAGAAGGACATTCATGCACAAAAATACACGTAAGTGCTCCATGGCCAGAGATGGACAGGTTGTGGGAAACACTGGTGTGGACATAAGGGAGGCTCAAAGAGCCTGTTCAGCGCAACTTTGTTGGGGGGGGAGACTTCTTCTTAAATTTCAGCCTGCCAAGTGCAAGTCTTTCACCCAAGTTCATAAGACCTATGTGGAGACACCCACGCACGCCAACTGACCCCATCTTTCCAAAGCCCCAGGGGCACTTGGGGGAGATGCCAGAATTGCTTCTCCAACTGCACCTGCAGCTCCAGCGGCACCTGCAAGCATCGTCCAGAAGGGCTGTGGGGCCCTTGGGGCAGAGGCATAGATGAGCACGGAGGTGCCAGGCCAATTTCCAGAGAGCACCCAAGATGAGGAGTGGCAGCACCTGGGAGTCCAGGTCTCAGCAGACCCGCAAACAGCCTGAGCTCCCGGGGCTTTGGGTGGCAGTCAATGGCTGGGCGACTCCAGAAGTAGGTCGCCACAGGAGGTCACTGGGGCAAGCGTCCAGAGCAGCCCCCGCACAGTCACTCCAGAGCAGGAGAGCTCCTCTGCAGGATCATCTAAGTAAGAGGAATGCCACAAACAGGACCCACCCCGTCCTGGCACAGAAACCCTTACAGCTGACGGTAAAGATGGATCTCCCCAAGTCCGCCCTTTCAAGCATGGGAAGCAACCACCTCTACAGGTTCGTAGCTGGCTCTGTGCTGGGCTGAGATGAGGGGAATTGCTCTCTAGCCCCTAGAGAAGAACAGGTTGAGGAGGGATCCTCCTCTTCCTCCCCCAATTCCCTCACCGACCAAGAAGAGGTTCAGGGATTGGGGGCCACTGCTGGAGCACCTGGGCTACTCCCTATGCAGGCAGGCCAAGCAGCATTTGTCTCCCTAGAGAAGGAATTGTCCCTGGCCCTCCAGGATCTATGGGCTGCTGCTGCTGCTGCTGCTGCTGCTGCAGAACAGCTGGCTGTGAAGCAATTGGAAAAACGGACAAAGAAACCTTTCCCCAGCGTGAGACCCACCACGCCCACACAGACAGCTCACGAAAGTTCCAGAAATAATGACCACGCACCACCTCTCTCCTTGCTATCTTGGAACTGTTTTGGATTTTGTATAACGACCTCCCCATTGCTTCTACAAGCAAATCTCAGAGGCAATAAAAACAGAACGGCCATCTAGCCACCCAAAACCGGTTCTTCCCTTTGGTGGAGAGGCACCCAACATCTCGATCATTGGACCCCCCGCCCCAATTTGGCCTCCGGCCATCTAGTCCACCACTCACTGCAGTTTCGCTTGACTTCTGCTTTCTGCTGGACACAGTCTGAGCTCCTGCCAAGATCGACATCCGAAAGAGCAAACAATCTTGATTGCTTCCTTGCACTTGGCATGACCCGCAATAATCCAATTTGCAGTAAATTACCCCAGCCCTCCTTTTTTCAAGAACATGGATCCTGCCAATTGGGGAGCCCCTCTCCCCCCCACCAGATGACCAGCTTCCAGACACCTTTCTCCCGTTTTGTGTCCAGCCTGAAAGAGATTCCAGGAAAACACGAGGATTTGTAGCTCTCGTTGCTTTGTAACGTTTTAGCTGCCAGCACTAACGCCACCCTTCGACTGAGGGGCTCCCACCCTCTCCAAAGACAGGAGAGGGGAAAGACCCTTCAGGGAACGGTTCTCTACCACTCACAGCACAAGGCCCAAAACGTCCATCGCCAACATATCTTAGTTTGGCTGGCACTGCCCACTGCAGTGCTGCATATTGAATAACATAAATTCAACCCCTGGTGTGCCTTTAGCCTTCAGGAAAGAAAGGAATAATGGAGGCAGCGGTAAGCTGAAGCGGCTGATATTTTTTCCCAGTTCCGAACAGAAAGCTGCTGCTTTGTGGCTCTGCTGGACAGATTATCCAGTGTGTTCTCCCTGACTTACAGTATCTGCCACCTGCAAATGGGCGTATCCTGCAACTCACATCTCCTGGAAAAAATGGGGTCAGAGGGCCTAAGGAGCACCCAATCTTACACCAACTCGTTTTCTGATGCTGGAAAGAAAGAAATCCTCCACCCCTGGGGCAAAGGGTTCATGGAACCCCTCTTTTTCATCCTCTCGAAAAGAACCAGCACCGTTCTTTAGCTCATCTGGCAAACAGCAAGAATTAACACAAAGAAGAAAGTACTGTGCTCCAAGATATATTATGTTTATGTTTTTTTCTTTATATTTATTTAAAAGAGTATTTTGCCATCATTCGAGGAGATGCCTTCCAGGATGGGGCAGAGAAGCATGCATAAAGGTAATCCACGCCTCTGCAGGGCCCTGGTAAGCAACCAGGCTCTGTCCGGCCTTTCTGCATCGTGCAGCACACTCGTCCTCTTTGGAAACCGGGGTGGAATTTTGCACAGGTGATCTGCAGCCTCAGCCAGGAATCAGTGCCAGACACGGGCCAGCTCCCTAAAGGCCACAGGCACCGAACAGTCTCTTCTCTGTTTATACCCCAGATCAGCCATGCCTCCAGAAGCTGGCACATGCCAAACCCTCCCCAAAGGGGAGGGAAAAAAAACACATCAAGCCTCAGCCAAAGCAACCAAGGGACAACTCAACAGGACATGCAAAAACAACACACGCCAGTGTCAGTCAGAAACACACAAGTTACAAAGGACAGTCAATAACCTGAAGTTCTCCTCTACTTCTTTCTGCAAAGGAGGGAAAAAAAGCAGAGAGGAAAGGAGAGTAATATGGTTAGTAGAACATATAACAGTTATGGACCAAGCTTGGAGAGTGGAGCAAACTTGCACAATGACATTGCCCCAAATCCCACAGAAGTCAACCCAGAACCACTTCAAGAGCCTCCCTGGGTGTAGAGGATAAGCCTTGTACAGATGCAAGGAGTGGGAAGGTTGGGAAGTGGGTAACTGAGATGCTGGGTCCTGTTTTCAAAACAAATGTTGTTTTCCTTTCAGTAAAGACGTACCTTATTATTACTTTGCATTAGTGAGCAAAAAACAGTTTTACAGTTTGATATGGACAAGTAAGACCAAAGCCTTTTCCTAAAAGAGCGAGGCCATCTCATCCACCTCCTGATGCAGAACCAGAAATCTCAGTCAAGCTCTGACCCAGGGGCAAGTCACCCCCTCGCCCTGGATCCCACCAATAACTGCAGGATGGAGAAGCCCTGAGCAACGCTGAGAGATTGGGGCTTCTCACAGCCTGGAATTAAAGTGTCCAGGGAGGCGGTGGGACCACAGGAAGGACACTGGTTCAATGTTGAGACCATAACTAACAGAAAGGCCAAAGATCTCTCTGCGTTATGCCTTAACGTAAGACACTCCCCAACCCCACATTCTGGAAGGCTCTGAAAATGTTTGATGTCAGTGAGCCTTTGGGTCATGGTTTGACGGCAGGTGATGAGTTGGGAGCAGGATGTTTTGCTAGTGTTATGTTTTACTGGGTCTTTCTGTTCATGTTGCTGCTCTTTGTTGTGCACAGCTCAGAATCAGTTTTCACATACTGATTGATTTGATTTTGGTGCCACCCGACTCCAGACTGGCTCTGGGTGGCTTTATCGTAAAATAAAGAATGAAAGAGACATAAAAGTTAGAAGCTTTAAGAAGGAACTTTGATAAATTCCTTTCTAAACAGTAACAATTCCATGCAAAACTCCTTTGTTTTACTTGCAGAGATCCTGGCCTTCAAACAAAGGTAGCTTGCAGAAATAAAGCTTTTGGAAAAGAGCATCTTCAAGGGAAAATGTGGCCCTTCATCATGTCCAGGAAAAGCCTTTTCTACTTGTTCTGGCCACGGCCCCTTCAAGGAACCTGCCCACCCCCCCTCTCCTTCCCAAACTACACCAGGCACCGGGCAGCCAATCACAGCTCCTCCCCTGATCTGCACCAGGGCCATGACCATCAAGTCCATGGGGTGCCCAAACCCGCTGGGGCGCTGCTAAGATGACTGAACACATGAGATACCTTTTCACAGCCCGAGAGCAAAATTTGAAATGGTTGAAAAAAGGGTTCTGCATGGAAAATAATTTTCATCCATCATAGCAAATGGGAGGATAAACCCTGAGTGTGGCGGTCTGTTTCTAAACATCTGCAGGATGTGTTTGGCCTGAAACAAGGTTAAGAGGGAATGGCAATTATTCCAAGAAAGACAAGCAGCCGTCATTTCAGAAGATTCTGAAATTCACATGAAGCGGCAACAGAAGAGACAAGCTGGGCAGGGTTGCCCAGAGGAAACAGAAATCTCTTGGTGACTACAAAAGGACAATTTCTCAGCAAACATCTGAAGGCTCTTAATCCACAAAAGTAGGGCAATCGAGCTCTCTATGTTTTGGAGAAAAGTCCATCGTGTTCTGTGCCTGCATTTTCCCTCCCCCTGCACCTGTTCTTTACTGGCTAACCCCTTTCTCCCCAGTGCAGAATTTCCTATTTTCCTGGGTTCCAGATGTGTCATGGTAGAACTTCCATCATTCCCCGCCAGCAACTAAAACCCAACTACCTAAAGGCACCAAGTCCAGAAACCAGTCTGAATCAAGACACACAAAAACCCTAGACCAGGGCTGGCACTGGATGGAATGAATTGGTGGAGAAATCAGTCCTTCTTCTGCTTGTTCTCTACAAGGATGCCAAGGATGATCCAAAAAACGTGCTGGGCTAAAACGCGCAAATCACAGTTTCTTTGTCACTTCTAGTCAATCTTCAGCATATTAGGAAAATGAACAGGCAGCTAGAAGCTCTCCGACATCAAACATGTATCAAACGTTTCCAAGGGCTTCTGAGATGGCCTGAGAATGCAAGGTCAGAGAGTCTGGCAAGAAAAATTGGCCACTATTTACCTATCAGCCACTCTGAGTGAGATGAAGGGTTTGTTTTGTTTTTTAGCAGTTAAGGCATGATAACATCTACCTACATCAAAAGATGTG